GTCTTAATTAATTATGAGTCCATCTATAATTATCGACTATGAATAATTTATGATTACTATTTATATTCATGTATTGATCGCCATCACATACATATATAAATATCTTTTGTAATCAAGTGGACACTATCAATTCTATAATGAATCGAAACATAATACATTGAATTCACCAATTGTATAAAGCATAAATATTTCAGAAACGTCAGGAACATATGTCATTATAATCCAGATAAGAATTTGCTATGCCAAGGCATATAAATCCCAACAGCTGAGTGATGGTTATTTCTTCTCCATATATTAGGTAGTATTGTGAGCAACACATTGAGGCCACCTGTGCTAGAATCTTGTGATCCATAATGGAGGTAACTAAAGGAGAAATCGATTTTGGTTTGCAGAGCCATCACAAAGGCCAAACTTCACTGAGATTGTAAACCAGTTGTGTTCGATGGCTGTTAAGATCTTTCCAAAAGGTCAAACTCAACATACACCCATTTCAACACAACCCCAAGTTGTAAAATGATCTTTTGCAAGTGGGTTACCTTTGTGTTAAGAGGTTTCATCTTTAAAAGGCTAACGTGCCTTTTTTCTACCCGTGTTGCATCTTGAGCACATGGGAGTTAGACTAATATGTTTGGCTTAAATTATGAACACTTCTATAAATCTGAGTAGTTGTTCGTGTGATTAGAATTTGCCATTTTGTTTGATCTACCTTTTTGTTTACTTCTAATTTTCTTGATTTTTCTTTTTAAACCCACTTATATATCCATCGTGTAAATGCACGAGAGAGTTTTACAGCCTAGACGATGTTAGTTAGTATCGTATTTTCCAAAGAGGAAGAAATTAAATAGTCTTGTCATGTTTTCTAAAGTGGTGCATAACGTATAAATCATTTTGTGTTTTCTCTTAAATTTTTAAGTCTACTTATGATTAGAACATGATTTGTATGGGTACTAAGAACGACAAATGTGAGTGGGATTGGTTTATTTAGCTACATTTTGTGTTAGCAATTCCTTAATGAGAATCCTATTTGGTAGCTGGTATCTTTGCAATGTTGTTTCCACATCTTTTATCTGTATATTTCTGGGGGAAGACGTTACCCTTTAGTCTGGTATTTGTTGGCCGGTTGCAACCTATTGCAAGGTTTTGCTACTATCTCGTTGCTATTTAAACTTTGCGCTTTGAATTTATAATTTTGAAGTGGTGTACGTGATGCCTTTGTTTTTGTGTTACTCGTGATATGTGAGAAAACTTGGGTGATATAGTTGGTTGGTACCTAAGGGAGTTTTTGCTTTGCATTATGTAACTGTTTCATAAGACAGAGTTATAGTTTACTGGTATCTTCTCTGTTGGGGAAACCGACGTTTTAAAAACTTTTAGAGGAATTTTTAAATAAAGATTTTGATTCATATGTAGAGACAAGTTTTATATTTGAAGAACATAATGATCCATTCAATTAAAGATAGAAAACTTACATCAAGGTTTGAGTAAACCTTAAATCTCTCCTCTAAAGTGAATATTCTCACTTATTGTAGATCCCTTTGTTGGATGTCTCTTCCATCGATCTCTATCTTGTTGGTAATGATCTTACCTTTAGGAATCACCCATAAACCTCAATGAATGACCTTGGAAAGCTAAGCTTGTGGGAGTCTCCATCAGATGAGAACACTAACTCTAAAATATTAGAGAGAGAAATATTTTCTTATCTTTTAAAAATTATTGCATAAAGGCGTAACTAAAAATATACATGGACCCCATGTATATATAGGCAACATAAAAATAATAATTAAAAATAATATATTTTTCTCAATCTCTAAAATTCACGTGATATCTTAAATCTAATAGGCTTCCAATATCAAGTTGGGCTATGAGTGAGAATCCTTTGGATTTATTATTTTCTTGGCTACAATGAATTAATAATTGGCCTGATCCATTATACCATGTACCCAATTCAATTAATTCATAAATTATTTTTTACTGTATTGAAAGAAATTAATTGAATTCCAATTAAATAATAAATAACCTCTAAGTCAATGTTGCATTTTGACTCCTCTATGCATAATTAGTTTTCGGATAAATAAAACCATCAATCCGACTACTAATTAATATATTTATTTTGGTACCTTTGATTATTTCGGGCTTGATCACAATAAAACATTTGTTTGACAAAAATAATAATTTAAATAAATAAATATATAAAAAAAAAAATTTGTCTAAAAATACACGAAGGCCTTCGAATTTACTTTGTGATAAACTTTAATCAATACAAAATAAAAAGAAGTAGCAGTGATGCAAATATTGAAAATATAACCCTCTAATTATTAATTACATAATTACCTAAAGTGCTAGTCTATGGATTCCGAAGAATCCGCCGAACAAATTAAAGTAATTACTAATTAATAAAAGAGTCTATACTTCTCTCATACTTAAGAGTCAAATGCCATGATAGTGTTACGACAGCTCTCGCAATATATCTCAACCTAACGCGGATCTGGTTCAAGTCTTAGTTAATAATGAGTTCATCCATAATTACCGACTATAAACTATTTATGATTACTATTTATGTTCATGTATTGATCGCCATCGCATATATATAAATATCTCTTGTAAGACACTATTAATTCCATAATGAATCAAAACATAATACATTGAATTCACCAATTATATAAAGTATAAATATTTTATATATGTTAGGAACATATATCACATATTATATATATATATATACACACACTTCAAAGTTACTAAAGTCATTGTAGGTTTGCTAAAGTCATAGTTATTTAAAAGAGTCAGATATATGCAGTTTTACTTTCCTAATCGAGCAATTTCAATCTTATTTTCGTAAAGAAACAATTTCACCCTTGGGTCAGGGTCCCCCCTTACACACACATCTGAGATAACAAATAACTGTAGTGACATTAAGGTTGTTACATATACATCTATATATAATGTGTGCATTTTTTTTTTGCTTACGTGGGTGTACATATACATGTTTTATATGTAGAGTGGAATTTTCAAACGAAACCTTTTCTCTCTTGAAATTTTATTATTGAAATTAAAAATCTTAAATATGTAATGGTTTTCAAATCAAATTGAAAGGTTAGACTCCAAACTAGAAATTTGAATTAAGAATATGCGTGTAATAGCGTCACTATACACTTTAAATTTAAGTGTTGAATGAGCTGGTTTCATGAGATCATCCACCTCATGGAATGAGTTTCAACCAAATCAACTCGTTTAGGCCATCTGGACCAACCTCTCCGGATTTTGGCTCTCTAAAAATGCCACATTAGCTTTTCCAAAAGCCACGTCAGCAGCTTTCGCTCTCCAGAAACATGCACGTACTCCATCAGGCTTTCTGAATTTTCGCTCTCAAAAAAATTATATATAAAATTATTATTTTTAAAATTTTTTTTTCCTAATGGCTATATTTTTAACGGTTATATTTACAACGGCTACATTTTCTCAACGATAATATTTTTCAATCAAACAATATTTTTGCAAATTATTTAAAAAACTACAATTGATATTATAACTTGAAACAATACATTATTCATTATGGATTAAAAAAAAAAACAAATTAAACAAAAACAATTTGTTCCAAAATTCGCTTCCATAAATTTCTTCTTACTTTGGTCTGCCCCTGTAATCGCATCAGAGATAATGGACATCCACGTCCAACATAAAGCCTCATCTTCAACCTTGGTACAATTATTAGGTCGGATAGCTGGTTGTTTTGGCGGGGGTTTTGAGTTACTTGATTGTGGAACACTAGTACCACAATCATGATGAAAAGTTTGGAATGGTTGATAAGAAGGAAATTAAGAATCTCCTCCATAATAATTGATATTGTCTTCGGGAAATGGCAAAAACTCATCGTTTGATGGGTTGAATTGGGTGTTGTAATAAAATGGATGTCGAGAATCTATGGAATCGAAATGACTTTGAAAATAATAGCTAAGATTAAGAAAATAGAAGAAGAAATAAGCTGAATGGTAGATAATAGAGATGTGTTAGATGTGATAAGTGATGGTAGGAGTTGGAGTATTTATAGAGATTTTAAAATTTTTAATTAATTTTTTTTTTTTTTTGAATAAAGTTAAAAAATTTGAATTTTTAAACTTTTTTTTTTAAATTATAGTCATTAAGACACTGTTTGTGTCAGCCAAACAGTGCCTTAACGGTCAAATACACTATTTGTGGTACATATTTAAAATTTAAAGTAAAAATTTTTTTTTTTAAAAAAACAAAATTTAAGGGAAAAAACCAAAAAAAAAAAAAAAAAAATGTTTTTTAATTTATTTTTGGGCCATTTTTTTTTTTTTTTTGGACAAACAATGCCTAAACAATATATTTTTTATTGTTTGAATTTTATTTTATTTTTTTTACAAAAAAACAGAGCTCTAAATAACCTATTTTTAGGTTTTTTTTTTTTAAAAAAAAATTTCTGCCAAACAGTGCCTACTGTTCAGTCACTATGCACAGCCATTGGAGGAAAAAACAAAAAAGGCAACAAAAAAACGGCGCCGTTTTGCAACAAAAAAATAAAAATAAAAATAAAAATTTCAGTTATCGTAGGCTGGCCCACGAGCAAAATTGGGCTCCACCATTTGTTATGAGGTTGCTGCACGCCCAAAAACCTTTTTAGTCGCAGAAGATGGGCCTTGAAGAGCCCGCTGCAGTTACTCTTGGAATTTACAATTCCACGCTACGGAGATTTCCGTGTTGTTGCAATCTACGTTCTTGGAGGAGTTCCGCCAGCGCGTGTCACCCATTCTTTAAAACTAAGGTACCGCGTACTCAATGGGACGCCAAAACAGTGTTCAAGTACAATAAGTACAAGTAACAATCTGATTTGGACAAAAAAAATCCTAGTCACATAATTATACTCATAAAAGAACATTGAATTGTTAATACCGCGTATATCTTATATACACAAATGGTGCTATTTCAATTGGTTTTGTGAGGAGACAATATATATATATATATATATATATATATATATGTATGTATATCAATCCTTATTAATGAGAAACCCCTTTCTTTGATATTTCCTCCGCCTAACTCTCTTTCCTTCTCTTCTCCGTATAAAAGCTACCGATCTCCCATTTTTGTCACAAACAGATCATCTCTCTCTCTCTCTCTCTCTCTCTCTCTCTGTCTGTTTGTGTGTGTGTGGCTGCTATGGCCAATTCTTATGATAAACAAACCATTCATGAAGAAGAAAACGATATGGATGGTCACGAAGAGACAGTTTGGGCAAGTGGATGTGGTTGTTTAAGGCTCTTTTGCTTTACAAGGTCACGAACAAACAATGAAACTGAAGATACGACTTTGTTGGGAGCTGAGCACAAAGAGACATGGTTGGTGAAGAAACTGAAGAAAGCCAAGGAAGTTTCAGAACAATTGGCTGGACCCAAGTGGAAGAACTTGGTTCGAAAGATCAGTAAGTATTTCAACAACAAAAAATCAAAGACTCAGTTCCAGTATGATCCAAATAGCTATGCTCTCAACTTTGATGATCACAGAGTTAATAATGTTGAAGAAGAAGATGCCTCTTTGCTTGCTTTCTCCTCAAGGTTTGCCACTCCATTTTCCGCTACTCAAGAACGCCAACCGAGGTTGTGAAATATTTATACCATTGTATTCTCATCTTTTCTCTTTAATATAAACAAGATTGATTGCAATATACAAACCGTTACCCCAAAAATATATATATTATATATATATATATATATACATATTTCTGTTGTGTTCTTTGTATTGTTACAGTTAATAATGATTGAATCGTTTAAGATTTCGCTAGCTGATATATAAGCCGCCCAATAACTTGTATTTGACCAAATACCATCTTTTCCATTTTGTTGGCTTTCACACGGTATATAAGACTAGGTATATAAGACTAAGGTTCCGTTCACGATTAGCTTTCCCTTGTATAGTTGTATATATATATATCCATTCCACCTTTATAAATTTATGCCAATATAAATAAATAAGCAATCCCTTGAACGTTTATGCACAGTCCAACATGGGAATTTTGATGAGTATTTTACAACTGGTCAACTAAATGGCAAATAGAAGTTGAATGTCCAGCTGTGCATGTGGAAAATGTGGCCTAAAAACAAGACAAAGCCAAAAGGAAAAGAGAAATTCATTTAGGGTGTGTTTGTCTATAATTAGAGTTTTAGAATTGATATTGGTAGAATTGAAAATATATTTAGGGTGTGTTCGGTTGCATGGAATTGAAGTATTGAAATTAAAATTTGTGAAATTTAAAAAACACACAACTAAGAAAATTGAATCAAAATTTTCACAAATTCTACCAATTGCAAGGTTCAATTGCATGGAATTGGAATTGGAATCGGAGAAATGCAATGAATAAAATTGAACCAAAATTTTCTCAAACTTTACCAATTCCAATTTCATGCAACAAACACATACTTAGTTCAATTTTGTGAGTTATTTTCTCCGATTCCAATTCACATACTCAAATTACATGAAGCCAAACATAGCCTAAAGATAATTTTAAGGATAAATTAATTTGAAGGAACATTAATTTATGAGGAATTGTAAAGTACATTTGCAAATAGAGTTATTAAAGAAAGTGGAATTCTAAACATTGCACATGAGATGAGATGGCTTCAAAAGAATTTTGAGTCGTAATTCCCGTGGACAGGAAGGATCTCATATGTCGTCTGCAAGTTTCATTAATCAGAAGACTCAGAACTGATCTGGTCCTGTGTGCGCGTACATGAAGCGAGTGCTCGCGAGAAACTGTCAATTTCAGAGGATCCATTTAATAAAAAGTAAGAAATTTTGGTAGGAACAGAAGTTGAGGGGTTGAAGATGCATGTATCCCCAGGAAGAGGAAGTCTTTGCTTCATTTCATTTCAGTGAGTAGAAACAACCTGTGAGTAGTTTTGAGAAAGCTACAACGTACTACAAGGGAACAATTCAAAAAGAACACTGAAGGAGAGAGTATTTACATATACCCAAAACCAATCACCATTCCTATTCACAAAAACAAAAGCAGAGACCAAATTACAAATCCACCAGTATGTACTTAAAAAGACAAGAGGGACTACTTGAATGGATCGCATTTTACATTGAGCTTAACATTTGTACTAGTTACCCTTTAACCATATACCAGTGTCAACTAGCATCCATCAGTTTTTAGGTCAGCCACTTGAGCCTATCAAATAGCCACCTCATTTACTGGACTATGCTTTCTCCTATGAGTAAAATAAAGATCTCGAAATAGTGCAATCTCCCATTGTAGCTAACGCATTTCTCTACTGCTATACAGCTCTTGAAGTGTGTCAAGCTTTGATGCTGAACTTCCCACCAGTTTTGGACAAAGAAAGAGTTCGCTTTTTCGGTTTGGATTTGTCAATTTACATGAACACCTCACCGCTAGTTTCACCTGCTGCATTATTTCTTTTCATATCAAAAAGTTGGCTAAAGAGTTTTAAGGGTATTTGATTCCAAATAAGAAGCAACGATCATCCTACGTACCTCTTGCGTTTGGTCTTCAGAACTGTAGAAGATGAAGGGTTACTGTGCCAGTTCCTTTTCCTCTGGTTGATGAACCAATTGTTAATCTGCTTCAGTTGCAAACCTGTTTCCTGCACCAATCTAGCTTTATCTTCTTCCTGAAACAATATTTCGAACCAGGTCCACATTTGAGGGGCAGTCAACAAATTAACATCAGATTATTTGAGAGCAACAGGAGATTCTGTAACCCTTACTGTCGGATAAGGCCACTTGGAATGAGATTGCCACCAAGCTTTTAGGAGGGAAGTTGTGTCACCTGGCAGTTTTCCTGCTCTTCTTTTACGCAGAATTTCCTCTCTGATGTCCACAATCTTCTCTTTGTAACCCTGCAAAAGCAGAAAACTGATCAGCCCCCATGAATGTAAAAAAGCCAAAATTACATACTAATGATGCATATATTGCATTCTTACCTGTTTCAGTTCATGCTTTAACTCTTGCCTCACACGCTCCATCAGAGATCTCTCATTTTCAGTCGGGACAAGAGGACCAAATCCCATGCTATCTGGCCCATCCAGACTTCCATCATACAAGTTGGTGTCACTATCTGCTTGGTCATCGTCATCATCTGACATTGTTGCACCAGTGCCTTCACCAGGTGCCACACCTATATGTGTGCATCATGATTAGTTATAAAAGACGGCCGCATAAATCTGAAACACTTGCAGAGATATCAAAAGAAAGGAGCTGGGCGGGGGAAGTCAACATAAATTTCATCTACTAGTAGGTTGCCTAATTTACATTGCACTCATCAGGCACACAAGATTAGTTTCCTAGTTAAGTAAGTAAAATCCGTTTTTTTCATATTAAAATTATAGAATTATAGTTATTATCATAACAATAAAGTTAATTTTACTTATCGGACCACCTATCAAAGAAGGAAGGGAGAAACTGCCATAATTATAATTGTCTAAAGACAAGGTTATGTGAAAGCAAAAAATGGTAAGTCTCCGTGTTCTAAAAGCCAATGGAGGCTATTGAATCTGAAAGGATTCAAATTATAAGAATAGGCAAATGGAGGCATAATACAGCTCAAGTTAGCAACACAATGGCATGAAAATGGATGAAACAACTTCATTTTCTCAAAGTAAAGGCTATAAGGGAAGTGTTAATATTGTACGTTGATTTAACCTTTATGTTTGATTAACTGTAATATATAAGAAATTATTCATAGTTTGAATTAGTTAGATTGTGAAAATTTTCTTGTTTTGGTTTGGAAGTCGCCCTAAGTTTATTTTCTTGCAATCCAGGTAGAACTAGTGAAAAAAATTACATCCTACAAAGGAAGACTAGTATCAGATTCCAGATCAACTCCATCAAAAAACAGAACATGACATAGCCATATGCATTTCATATCTCTGAAAACAAACAGTAAATAGTCACCACTAATTATTGCTTTCTTTTCAGACAATCCTTCAGCATGCAATTACTCATATACTTAGAACTCTTCTGTTCCTTATCAGAACTGAACCTCTTACTTCCTAGATTTCTCTGAATAAACCTCCACTTGCTTTTTGATTCACCAATCCGTTTGATCGGAAATTCCTAATTGACAAGCAAAAAATCTGTGTGACTATTACCTATCTGCTAATGCCATAAAATAGAGATTAAAAATTGTCGCAATCAATCGATGTAATGGTTCTTTTATCACCAAACATGAAGCATGTCGTTTCCTTATCTAATTGTGAAGTCTCAAGAAACATGTTATTCACTGTAATGATGTGTGGAGATTAGCATCCCCTGCTTAACAATTCCACACTTTCAGAAATAATAGCTGTGATGTTGTAACTGAAAACAGTTTTGCTATCTTCTACCAAGCTTCCATTGTAAACCACAAAACTAGGAAGTGCTTTGCCTCGTTGGCAAAATTATAGTCTCCAATGAAAAATACAACTTTCCCCTCTTTATATCTTCCATATTTTTTAAGAGTTTTTGTTTTCTTTTTCTCCTGACAAGTTCAGTTCACTGAAACACCAAAGATTACCCACTTAGAGATTCAAGAGAATTTTCTTAAAGAAAAATTTCTAGAAAGCCAGTCCGAAACTTTCTTACGGGACTTCAAAATGCCATACAAGTATATATTACTGAGGTGCAGCCATGCTATTATTTCAGGATGTTTCTCCTTTTTCAATATGCTCCTCGCAAGATAATACAGACCCATAACCAAAAAAAGTCAAACAAACAACTTCAAAACTCATAACTGACCCACTCTCGTACACTTGTGGACCAGACCAGACTACAACAGAGAACTGGATTCTTGTCTCTATAAATTTCATTACAGAAGTAAACACCAACTCGCTGTCATCACAGCTTGCACATTCAATGCACAGACCATAGCAGCTGTTCCTCTTATACGGACTCAGCTCATAACTCCTATGTTTGAGCAATTTAATCAGTAATCCTATTAAGATTACATTTAGCTGAAACTATCTTATATAATCAAACTCTGGCTTACAAAACAATATCAATTTGCAGCAAAAGCACAAGATCTGATGAGAATAACAATGACAGGATAACTAATGATGCAATAGAAACAATGGAGTGATTAAACCAGTAACAAAGATCAAAATAATACCCAAATAACATCACTATACTGCTATTATGCTGAACAAAGTGAGTAAGAGCATACAAGTAGGTATAGCAAGTCAATACATTCAACTCAACTCAATAAATTGGTAAAGATGTAGTACCATTGAAATATTATACATAACAGACACAGCAATTTTAAGTAAAAACAATCCTATAAATTGGTAAATTAAATAAAAATAGACTGATGTGTTTGACATTCTACTAAAAACTGAAACAAGCTATCTTCACAAAAAGAAAATGAAAATGAAAAACAAGGGAACACCTGTTAAGCTTTGTAGAGATTGCTCAAGCTCCCAACAAGCCATGACTGCTTCCATTGCATGAACACGAACATGCTGTTGCAATTGTTCTTTAAAGGAAGATAGCAATAGAACATAATGGGTCTACATCAGAAGGAACAGACAAAAGAAGAAAGGGAAAAGAAAAGGAGAAGAAGATTAGATGACAAAGAATAAATTGCTCTCATAAATATATAGTAAGACCACTAAATCTTTAATGGACTTAATGATAACAGACTGACAATACATTGTATTGAAAATGAAAGTACATGATCTATCTTATTGCACAGAATGATGAGAAAGGACTCACTATTTCTTAAGGGAGCAATTCCTGAAACAACTAACGGCTACGTTAGTTACTTCAGTTGAGGCCTTTTTGATTTCAGAAAATTTTCCTAATTGCAATATAATATTTTAGAGACGATCACTACTTTCAAACAACAGGTAAAGTTAACAAAATTTTAAAGGTGGTCATTAACTACCAAGAAAATTATGAATGAATTGAAACATTTTTCCTAATGAGATGGTCTGAAACAGTGCATAAAGAAATAATATTTATTTAAACCTATTATCCTAATATGCTTTGAACAAACAATAATAAAGATTTATCACCAAGAGAACTCTCAGAACATCATATACATTTTTGAGGAAAGAGTAGTACAACAGATCTCAGCAAAGTCGGAGCACAGAATAGTTGTTAAGTTTATTACAAGTAGGAGACTGAATAAACTTCAGTAAGCATTTATGTGTGCAGAGTGTCTAAGCCTCCAAACTATATATTGCATGAGTCATCTACTGAAAATTGTTATAAAGTGACTTTAAAATTAAGGAGACAATTGGCCTTAAGAAAGATCACTGATCTACTGAAAATTGTTATAAAGTGACTTTAAAATGGCAAGTCCCTTTTGCATGAGTCATTTGTCCAATTATTTAAGTTGGGGAGATTTATGCCGCATAATACAACCCCAATTTTGGTGCTTATCCATCATATCTAGTTTATGTGTGGATAGGCTCTTACACAGTAGATACTAATTTCTTTCAATTTAGTCACATCTTTAGAACAAGAACAGCTTCAAGAACACAACATAGACCAAATTGTGTAGAAAGTGGTGAAATACCACAGCAACAAAGTGATTCTCCAAAGCTCTCAAAGTTTCAATTATTAGTGTACTGAGCATGATTCCTCTTATGATGTGACAATTGAATATTCCGATTTACACTGCGAAACTAAACTCCATTAAAATTTATACACAGCAAAAGTTGTAACTCATACAAATTAATATCTTCGAGAGCACGAATAAAGAACATGACAAGACAAATTCTTGGCTCGAACTTTCCTCCATATCCTCTGTTCCTAATATTCCACTTCCTAACTCCTCTCTCTCTCTCTCTCTCTCTCTCTCTCAACTTAGTAACTAGATAGAAAAAACAAAACCAACCCCGAGAAATCGGTCCTTCTAAGATACAAAAGCATTTGAATCACAAGGAGCGCCAATCAATTAGAACAATCAATAAATCAAGAAAGTGAACTTTTTACTCAATTTAATTAATCAAACTATATGTGAAAAATTATAAGGAGTAAAAATCAAAATTGAACAAAAATAAATATATACATATACACGTGTGTGAGAACAAAGGATTACCATGAATTGATCAAGGTCCTTATCGTCCAGAGGCTGATTATTGTGTCCAAGAACAGAGTACTTAGCCACCACATGCTGCGATTGACCGAGCTGTGCATCGATCCTCGGCAGCTGATCGACCGGCGTTGCGATACGGAGACACTGAACGTGGGCCGAAAGCAACTGCTCGTACAGAGGATGACTCAAAATGTCCGCTTTGCACTTGGCAGTCTGCCAATTACTCTCTTCGCCATTTCCATCACTTTCATTCTGATTACTCAATTTCTTCTCTTGATTAATGATCAACATCGATTCACTGGTCACAGGAACGTCGTCGCTTTCACCGTGAATTGACCTTGATAGCCACTGGTTCGACGTTGACGAGTCCGAATTGGTGGTCTGTAGGTGCAGGAAGCTCCCATCAGCGTAGTGGTGGCTCTGTTGCCGGAGAATTGCGCTGTTCAGCCACGTTGGTGCTCCTCCTCCGCCGCCGCTCCCGGCGGCGAGTTGTGTTGGTTTTCCGGCACCGTCCGACGAGGAGTGGTTGAGTTGTTCCGGTAATAATCCGCGCAAAACAGCCGTGTTTTCTGTTAAGTGTTGGTCGCTGAAGTGTTGGAGTGCCATTTCTTGTGAGAAGTGGTCGTGGAACGCCATGTAAAAGCAGCTTCTTCAAGTGGCTGCTTGTATCATTAATCTAGAGAGAGAAAGTAGAGATAGAAGGAGAGGGAGAGGGAGAGGGAGATTATTCCAACATGCTTCTATATAGGACGTAAATAGAGACAACATTACTGCAAATTATATACTAATATTAGTATATATTAACCGTATATATTATGGTATAGAGAGTGTGTTGTATCACTGTGTGTGAGTTTTTGTGTGGCTTGACAATGAGAGAGAAGATTTACGGCTAGTCGGCTGCCGACGCCGCTGATGGAGCTGAGGGCAAAGTAAATATTGTTCGAGAAGGGAAGAAAAGGTGTAAGAAAGCTCTTTTTGGAGAAGACTTTTGATATTTGACGCGAGCATCGAGGGTGGATGATCTAACGGTTGGATGAATGCCACGGGGCTGGATTTAGTTTCTAAAATTTTGGGGACGGGAATGAGACAAAACTTGATCATCGATTGTGGCGAGACTGAGGTGATTGCTTGCTGGCTTCCTAGGCTCTATCTTCTCGTAACCGGCTACTGCCGGTCAGTGTCAACCCAGTAGTTCCTCTCCAATTTAATTCGAGCGTTGTAATGAAATTCCTTTATAACACTAAAATTAAAAAAAAAAAGTAGTAATACGTAAATAGTAATAATACTTTGAGATGGGCATAAAGATAAATTATTTTTAATTTTAATATTAATTTCCATCAAAAAATAATATTTAGTGACGGAGTAAAAAATTTAATGGAAATGAAGAAGTTATTAGAATAATATGATAAAAAAAAAATTGAACCAAAATAATAAATAACAAATGAAGGGTTATTTCTGAATTTTTAATCTTAAAAATTTTGTGGGACCTTCTAGAAGAGAATAGACAATGTATTTATTATTATTATTATTATTATTGGAATTTTTGTTGGCAAATCAATTAGAAAAATAAGAAGTCTTTTTAAATTTTAGAAGTTTTTTTTTTTTTTTTTTTTTTTTTTATAAATTCAGTAGGGGCATGTTTATAACTATCAAATTCTGAGTATAAAAAATGTAAATGAAAAACATTCCAGTGGGGCAATTGCTCCCACCGGACCAAATATGGCTCTACCACTGATTATATTAATTTAACTTTAATAGTATCATGTTGTAAGTATTAACTTTTTCATGTTGTAATGATCTAAAGGGTAAAGTGAAAAAAAATTATATATATTTACTATTTAGTATCTGCATGTATATTCCTAATATTTAATTTTTTTAAAAGAAATTGCTTCCTTTGATTAATTTTGACAAAACAATTAATTATCTTAAAACTCCAAAATGCCATTTGTAAGGAAATGTCAATTTTTTTCATATATATATATATTTTTTCTTTCTAGTTGGTACTCACACTTCCTCCAAAAAATTGTTTGTATCTAAGAGAAATCAATCCTGAAGTTTGAAAAAATATAATGGTTAGTTTAAAAATGTTATTTAAGAGTTTTTTTTCATAAATTTTTTTTACTATCCATCGCTATAATACCAAACGCTACAGTGCAGAAACATATAAAAATACCAAATTGATGTTTTGATTTTTTGCCACTATTCACAAAAAGTTTTAACACTGTGCAAAACAAAAAAGTTTTTATCAAACGCCTGTTTATTCACTATTAATTGGTATAGTACTCAACAAAAACAAAAACACCGAAAACAAACCAAACAAGCTCTTCGTGAAGAAGAATATGTATCGTTGCATTGAAATTTGTGATAATCTCGAGGACAATGCATAACAATTTTATTTTTTAATTTTTTCTAATATTATAATTAAAGGAACATATTCATTTATTATTGGTCCATATTTACGAGAAGGACCTAAGTATTGCATTAATTTTAAACCTCTAGCATTGAATCTTTAGCCCATCAAGACAAGTGAAAACAAATAATAAGAAGCATTTTATACAAAGTTTTTAATTTTTTTTTTAGGTATCCCTTCAGGTCACTGTTTGAGATTAAGTCGAAAATCTAGTCAATACTTTTTGAAATTTAAAATACATTAATTTGTATAAATAATATAAAAAATTATAGGGTTTATTATGGTAAGGCACTCTATAGTGAGATTTTGCCTCTCATTGTCCCATATTCGTTAGCATCCTCAACTAATTGGATTATAGGACAATCGATTTAGTTAGATTAGCTTGTCAACTACCTAGTTTAAGATTGATAAATTGAAATTGTTGGGAATTTTTGAATTTATTTGGATTTGACTTAGATAAACATATATATGTTAGTGTAGACATGGTATATTAGTGAATTACTTTAATTTCAAAATATATAAATTTTGATAGCACAAAGTTGATATCCATTGTTGTTGAAAACAAGTACTACTACAACTTAATTAATAAGTAAATCTTAAGTTAAAATATATATTAATTACTTTTAGTACATGTAAGAGACATTCTTTTGGATTTCAAACGCAAAACTGCACGATTTTTCAACAAACCCCCACTACTTGAATTCCATGACTTGCTAAAGTAGGTTATTTGTCAAACTTGGACTTGAATTGTTGTATAGCTACACACACACACAAAAGTGTGTTTGCTTTTCTTCAATAATGTGATGATTATGGAAGGGGGTTAGGTTTATGGGTGGGTGGAATGGAACTCGAGTTGAGTTCTGGGTAAGGTATAATAGGGTATGAACGAACGCAGAATAGTAGTAGTTTAAATGAGGACGACAGGAGATCCTAGGAATGATGAGAGAGAAAGACCGCGAAACAGGTTATCACATACTATGACGTTGCCCTGTTCTCCCCTACCAGTCATGGAAAGTGACGTTCATGTCCGTACAGTGGACACGCGTCGTATTCACATTTCATGGACCACGAGTGGGGTCCACACTGAAGCACGCGCCATGAGAAACTAACCAAGTCAGAACACGTGGAAAAAGTAATTTGCCAAACTGTGGGGACCGCTTCTCCATTTGACTCTTTCTCTTTCTCTTTCTCTTCCTCTTTCTTTTTCTTTCTCTACTCTCTAGTCTCTACTCTATCTATCTACTACATTTTATTTTATTATAGTATATTGTCTGTCTGGGACAAGAGAAGCCACAGGAGGGGGCTCCGTATGAATACCCACTGAGGCGCCGGCGGCTAAAATGACAGAGGCTTCATGCGGATGGTCCCACAATGATAAAATCTGCCAAACAGCGGGGCCCACTGAGCTACTAGTTTTGCACCACTGATTCGTCTCAACACGTGTCATGACATTTTTTGGTCCCCTACCTTGGCTCTTCGTATTATGCCCTGCCGTCACTCCCACGCCAATTACTCCATTGTCCATTAGGTCAAGATTTTCTATATACGAGTATTTAAAACTAAATTGTCTGATTGTGTAATACCCACAAACAAAAGCATCTAATAATTTGATATTATAATAAGATCAAAGTGTTATATTTTTATATCAAAATCCTTTCAATTTAAATGCTTGTGAAATGTGAGCAATGATAATACTTTGTAGCCTTCTTTCGCTTTGCTTATAATAATATTTTTAGTAGAATTCAAACACTCATTAATATTTTTAAAGATCAGAGAGCATACTTTCATTATTAATAATCATTAATCTTGTGATCTTCTTATGGTGTTGTTAAATCTATTTAAATTTTACATAAAAGCAAATGGAGTTTATAAGTTCGCAACCGTCATTCGTGACTTTCTAACACTCATCTTCTCCATATTTAAACAAAATTTTACTTTCTTTTATTTGATCAAGTTGAATTCTTATTTTTACTCGGTATATTTGATTTCATATATACTAATCAAATTATTTTTGTGTTATTTTCTTATAGATGAATTTACATACTGTATTACAATATTAAATGATTAGTTTACTTTTATTCTCATAATAATAATCCACGAGTAGGTTAAAGGTTTGCAGTTTGGGGCTCAACTTCCGGGCTTTTATTATTATTATTATTATTCTTTAAGAAATTCTTAAAATACTATTAGCTTCTAGAGTGATAAATAAAATAATATTTGTACTCTTTTTTCCCTTTCAAAAGCACTCTTAATTATGATATTTAATTATCTCAAAGAAAAATCCGTTTTTATACTTTATTTTAGAGGTGTAATTGTCTTCACCTTTACAATAAAAAATTAAACAGAATGCAAGAGTTCCCAAATGAAGTAAAAAGACCACATCTAATAAATATACTCCGTACTAGTTTTCTTCTCGTGCCATTAAAAGAAAAAGAGCTCATTTCTCAAAATAGAATGATTTAGCCCCACTTTTGGATTCACAAACCACATCTATTATTACTATTATATTATTATTATTTTTTTTGTCCTTCTCTACATATCATATTATTTTTCCAGTAAATAATTTAAGCAGAACAAAACATGTTAAATGAGAAATAAGTTGAAATCAAGTTTAACCCTACTAAAACTTTGTTCAACTTGTTTAGGTATGATTAGGAAGTTTCCGAGTTTCATTGATTGACTTGCTAAACATACTAAATAAAAAATGATTTTAGCATAATCTATTAGTACCAAACTCTAAACATTTTTAAAACACACTAAACTTCAATTATTGTATGAATCAGCAAAATCTGCTTAGACCGTCGGTGCGATCAATGTGTCGCCATTTGGTATTAAATTTTACATGACAACAAGTAAGACAAGGCCAATATTGACTGACACGTTAGCTTACACTCCAGTTATACCAGGACCAATTGAGAGTCACTCGATCTTACAGCGCGTGACAAGCACTTTCCAACCACATCTTGAAGTGTCAACAAATTGTTTGGTGGGTCCAGAGTCCAGACTCATATTTTAGTAAGCAAAAGTGGGACCGCTGCATAAAGTGAAGGAGAGTCCTCTATAAAATTAGAAATTGATTGGTTAGGGTTTGTGGCATGAAGTGTTCAACTTTGTTACAGTATTTGCAATATCATTGCTTAAAAATCCAGATAGTGTTGCATGGAATCATAGGCCAATTCGGTCACCTGGCCTGTGTTTTTGGTGACAAATCTAGGATCTCACCGTGATTGATGATGATTAAAGATGATTGAATGTTATTTAATTAAAATCAACCTCTTTATATCGAATGTTTATAATCATTTTATTTATTATTAATCACTCTACCACTTAAAATATGTCACCTTTAGGGTATCATTTAATATATTTACCATGTCGATTACAAATCATATGGCATCTAATGCATCTGTAATCAGCATTGGATTCCATCAAACATAATATTGTCCCTTTTATAGAAAAATCTTTTTAAATGGAAAAACCTAACCGACTAAATAATGTGAAATACAAGTGGCCAATTGATAATAGTATTGTAGTAATATAATCAGGTACGGACTCAGCATAGAACCGCTCCCACTGGATTTTTTATATTTTCATTTTATACCTCATTTTTTTTTAAAATTTATGAAAATGTCCCCACTAAAATTATAATTTGCCCTCACTAGATTATTTTTTTTACAATTTATACTTCAAATTTTTGAGAATTTTTTAATATGCCCCCACTAATATTACAATTCGCCACCACTGAATTATTATTATTATTTTTTATTTATTTATTTATTTATTTTGGCATTTTATACTTTAAATTTTTAAAAATTTATGAATAAAATTCCATTGAAATTCCAAAAATAAACACACTATATAAATTTGCCTTCACAAATTAAAAGACCGGGCCCCCTTACAAAATTTTCTAAGTCCGTCACTGAATATAATATCATGTGAGACCTGCATATAAATGTCTATTGGTTATTTTTGGCTTTGACATGGTTAATTTAGTAAGATTGAGTAGTGTAGGGTTTTCTTTTTTTTCTTTTTTTCGGAGCACTAGATAATTGTAATAAACAGAGATGTTAAATACAAATATAACATTGTTCATCATCAATTTGGTAAGGCCTATTAATTGTGTTTAGGCAATATTTGACTTCTTTTCCACCTATTCAGAATCCTTCTAGTGTCCCTTATGGTGATTGTAGGTGCATGAGAATGCCTTACTTGATAAGTGATGAATATTGCATATTCAAGCCTTTAGAGTTGTATATATTAATGCCTTAGTAATGTTTTCATAATAGTATTTATGCCATTTTATTGGTCTCATTTATTTTTAGGTACTTGCCTTCAATTCTGCTTAATTTGGGCTTTGATGACGAATTAAGGTCTAAGTAAGACATTGGAGTGTCCGGGGTTGATTTAGAGTTTAAGAAGGACAAGAAACAAATTTAGAGGGAGTTAAGACCGATCCTAATTCTTTAGGAGGAATTAGGATCGATCGCAAGTGCTACAGAAGTTGAGCATTGAAGAATTCAGAGTTGGATCGATCGCACTCCTTTTAGGATCGATCGTGGATACCTTACAAACCCTGCAAAAGTTTCTACATGTATTGCTTTCATTAGGATCGAACGCAGGTACTTGCGATCGATCGCAACAGAGACTTAGGATTGATCGTAGCCTTATTAAAATTGATCCTAAGTACATCAGCTGGCAATCCTGGTAGTTGCGGGAATTTTACACTTTGATATCTTCTTATCATACATGGACCGAACTTCATTTAAGAGGTGATGGTACATATATATATTCAGGGCTCGTTTGGAGTTGATTTAAGATAGGATTACCAACAATTGAAGAGAGATTTGGCGGGTAAGGACTTCTCTTCATTGTTGTTAAGGTTTGAAGGTTGAAAAAGGTGATTTCGATCAGAATTTGCAGTTCATGGAAATGGCGTACTCTTCAATGATGAAGCATTCTACCTTCTCCATTCTTCATAGGGAATTGATGTAACCTTAGTCAAGTAACGTTGTTTAATTGTATTTAATTTTGGAGAATTTTTTGCTCTTGTACAATGAATGCATGATTTGGGGACTTTTAAGCAATTGGATTTCATGTTTATATTCAGTTTTAATAAAATCATTATCTTGCCTTAGAATTTGTTTTGTTTAAATTGAAATCAACTTATTTATATTTTCTGTGATTTTGAGAATAGAGATCATGCAATGGTTTCCTTGACACTTAAATAAGCAATTTGATAAACAATACCTAGGGAAGACAAGTTGTACTACACCTTAATTTAGATTAGTTAGGTAGACAATTTGTGCTAACTAAAGATGGGGTATACTCAATGTTTGATTATGTAAATCCTCTTGACGATATCATTGTGAGTTTGTAGTCACATGATTAGTAATTATATTTAGAGTAATTTTTTCCGATTTAATAGAATTGGCCATTGTTATGCGATTAGTGGTGAAGTCAATCCCTTAGCCTTTCTTCCTGGATATTTTCATATCTTAATTTAATTTAATTTTAGCTTTTATTTACATTTAAACCGGAAATTATCTTGATTGCTTTACAATTCACTAACACGGTCCTTGAGGTTCGACACTCGGCCCTCAATCTAGCCCCATCCTACTGGGATTCATTCTATTGCAATGGTCTTATTATTGAGACCCGTCACTACCTTTATCCCACCTCATACCTTACAATTTTGGCTCAAGGTCATAGAATGCTGTGCATTTATCCTCGAGGTGTGGTGATACATTAAGATTTCTTTTTGGGTTCGAGGATTGTCTTCTCAAGGTTTGGTGATCTGACGTGACACCAGAAGTTTTTTTTTTTTTGAACTCGAGGATCGTTTTATCAAGGTTTGATGACCTAATATAAGGTTTTTGTTGGACTTGAGATTGTATTGTCGAGATTTGATGACCTCTGGTATTGTTAGGGTTTTGTTATTGAACTCGAATATTATTTTCTCGAGAGTTAAAGACGTGACATGTGTTAAGGGTTTTTGCTGGACTCCAGGATTGTCTCATCAAGATTTGATGACTCGTCATGTGGTCTAGTTTTTTTTTGGTTTTTTTGTTTTTTTTTTTTGACTTTTTAACGAGCCTTGTTTGTTGACCATGTTGACAATGTATTTTTTGACTTGTCAATATGCCATGTGGCTGGCACCATACGACACTTATGAGTGGTATTACTCTTTCACTATGTAAATAAGTCGATCTTCACAATTTAATAGAGTTAGATAATACTAGTGTTAAGATTAATTCATTTTCCAAACGTCCTAGAAAATTAGCTGGGTCAAGTGAGTTGGTAAAAGACTAAAGTCATCACTGGGGTTAACAAATAACTATAGTTTTATTTATTTATTTTTAACCTAGCAAGGAAAGAATGGGAGAGGATGGGGTAAGTCAAACGGAGTATCTTTACTAACTAGGCGACCAAACAGGTGTAGGTTTAATATAAAACTCAGGTGCTAAATTCTGCTATTAGTAGGTAAATGGCTTGATGTCAAATGACAAACGACCAATATTAAATTGGTTGAACCGCCATGATTAAAATAATAAAACTTTAGAGAAATAACATACTTTCTTTAGGGATAATATAAATTTTGAGATTTGTTTGAATGTTGTAACTAACAAAAGACTAAAGAACAAGAGAATAGAAACCTAGAAAGATTCTCATTCAAATGGTCCATTTTTGTATATAATATTTTCTTGTAATAGAAAAGAATGAAAAAAAAGGGACTTTATGAAACTAATTAAACTGTGATGATTATTATTTTTGTATATAGAGCCCACCATCAAATGAATCTCCCACCTACATGCTATTTATTGTGTTTGATATTCCAAATGAAAGACTAGAAATTCCGAAATAACAATTTGACTAGATGGATGAGAACATGAGTCTGTCAAAGAGGCCCACTCAATATAAACATTTATGTATGGGCGTGTTTGTGTACACACAAATTGCACTATATCTGTTGATGGATAAGAAGATGAATCTGTCATAGGAAATGGATGGATCAGTGTGTGTGTATGTGTGTGTGAGCTGCTCTGCAATTAGCTACAAGGGTCACATAGTAATTCACACAAGATTGATAGTTTGGCTCTTGGGGGGTTGAAATGAGTGATGCTAAGGCAAAAAAGAATCAAAATGAAAGGAATGATGAGGTACTCTTCAACTTAATTTGATTGAACATGGATTTTTTTTTTTCTTTTTCGAAATTTCAAGCAACTGAAATAAAAGAATTGATAATTAGATGGTGGGCCATTAGGCCAAAGATGTTGATGGAGCTTTGAAAGGATTGGTTAATCATAAAAGCTGGTTGTGTTATGATCCCTCCTAACCCTTGGGGATGCATACAGCCATTTAAAGCCACACTATTTCAACTTGCTATTCCCAATCCAAAAACTCACTATTCAAAAGGTCCCTTTTCACAAGGACTTGTTTGGTTGAATGTCAGTGGTCCCCTTCCATTTTGTAGTAAAATTTGGTTTTGTGACAAGGCTGTGCAATGACATTAGGATTTGATCCCACATGGGTATATTTATAGCTCGCTGTTCCATCTTTTTTGTGGTCACTTTGGTAAAACCCAAAACTTCACCTTTGTTGGGCTTTTCGCGGGGACATGTTTGGCAAAAATGTCAGTGGTCCCCTTTTAGATTCTCTTAGAATTTCATGCTTTCTATTGGATTGTACTTTAGCTCTCTGTTTAGGATAAACTTGTGACGAGACTTTTGTTATGACTTGTCCATATTGGCTGGCCTATACAGCTGCTTTCTACCGTGTTTGTGGGAACCAGCAGACCCAACTTTTAAGCCCAACGACTTTACCCCCAAAAGAAAAAGAAAAAGAAAAAGAAAGAGAAAAAATCTATTAAGCCAATACTTTGTTTCAACACAGCTAGCTTAAGAAACAACAATTTACAGAAAAAACAGACGAAGATATTTTTAACAACAATTTACGGAAAATTTAATTCCTCCAGTTTGACCAATTAATAGGGGAAAAAAAGTTGTAGCGTTTTTTCAGTAGATTTTTTTACACTTTTTTGATGTCTTTTGTGGCGTGTAACTGTTGGGCCTGTTTTTAAGGGCGGAGAAAAAAATTATTGGACTTGCTGCAGAGCCATGGACTGTTGGACATACGTTATGGGCCTTCTACTGTTCCTAAATCACAAACCATGGACACTGCAGCGACTCTAAGCAGGACCATACCACATCCTTCTAAGGCCAGACTCAAACACAATTATTTAAATATAACAAATTGAACCGTAAGGTGGTGGATTTGCTAGACAAGCCAGAATCAGAAAGTCACATACTATATTTATTGGATTAATAAGTTAAATACAATTCATGAGTATGAGGGGGCAATAAGACAATTTTTATGATTACTCTTCAACCTCTAATACAATTTTTATGATTACTTTTCAACTTTTATGACTAAGAGAGTTTGTTTTCTTTTCAACGTATATAAGTTATGAAATAATCTTTGTCAAGATTACTAACAAGTAACAAACAAATGTATGTCATGGATACCGAACGAACACTTATATGGTGCTAAGGGAGACTAGGAGGAAGGGAAGGCTTTGCCACTTTCAGCTCTCCGCAGTCGCTGATATAGACAGTCTTAAGAGGCTTGTTCCAGATTGCACGGGCATTTTTGGCTCTTTCATCTCCAAGAAACTCGGCAAAACCGTTGTATTGGCGGATTCTTTCACCTGGTTTATATGTAGGGATTGAAGCTATTGCTGTCACGATATCCAACCCTGAAACTCAATTCAACTGAGGTCAGAAACTAAATTTGTGACAAAGCAGCATGAATTTTCTTCAGGAATTACTACTACTGCATTCTTTTGGTAAAAACAATCTTTTGTGTGCTGTGTGTTCAGGTGCTGCTTCTTGTGAGGGACGATGGTAAGTTTCAGTTTCTACATCAATTTAATTGCAAGTAAAAGAATCATAGAAAAGATCTTACAATTTGTACATCTTTGTTTTGTTATGAAATTCTACAGAATAGCAGTTGATATTAGTAAACATATGAAAATATTACATGTCAAATGAACAGACCCAATATCACATTTGCTAAGGCTTTTGATAAAACTGCATAACTTTTTACACCACAAGCTAGTACAGGATAATATATTTTCATAGTTGGCTAAGCTGGTTATAATACTTACCACAATAACTGTAATTTCTAAAAGTCAAAAAGCATGATTTTTATAAAGATGTGTTTGAACTCCTGAGGAACCACATTCACAAGCTAACAATTCTATTCAAATTCATGATTAATAAAGGTTGTGACTGCAATATTTTGAACAAGTAGTGCCTAAACGCAAGAATCTGGACCTACAATTAATAACAATTAACACAGCTAGAAAAGGTTCTGAAAATAATAGAGGAGAATCAAGATGGTTGTAACAAGCACAAAGAATCTCAAGTACAGAATCCACAAGAGGGATAAAGAAAAACCAAAAAGCACACAAAGTGGATTAGTAGGAAGAAAGCAAGAATATTGAACACAGAAAAGTTCGAATACAGTCTGCAATTCATATCTTGAATAGTTAGAATAAAGCATACAAATATCACCATGCATACAATATAGCAACCATGATATATTGCATTCAAATTTCAAACTCAAATTTTTTAATCACACTCTCAATAGAATAGAATTGTAGATTCTTGAGGTACCAATACATTCAGTGTAACAACCTTCACTCTACCCAACACAATATTATCCGCTTTTGGCTCACCCGGACCAGACTTCCCAGAAGGTCACCCATCCTGGTACTGCTTCCGCATAAACATGCTTAACTGTGGAGTTCTGATGGGTTCACGTCCATCACGGCTTTAAAATGCATTGTCATAGAAGGGTGTTAAACCAACATATAACACTTCACCTTTTCCAATGTGGGATCATGACACCCGTAACGTACCAGTGTGGTAGCTCGCCCAGTGTCTCGCACCCGCACGCACCCCCCCCCCCCCCCCCCCCCCCACAGAGTCGTCACATTCAGTCATGCTCATGCAAAATGGTTATTTGCATAGCCCCACATGCACACAAGAAGAAGGAAACCAATACTTGGAATAAAAAAAAACAAGAATTTGAAAACTTGCTTCCTTACACAACTATGGTGAATTACTTATCAAACAAAACAAAAACAAAAAAATACAACTACGGTGAATTGGTAATGTCTTTTGATGTAGCAAAACTACGGAAATTTAATCACACGTGAGATGATCATTGACCTCAACGGAAATTATAAAATGTAACAATATCAATTAATTTTTACTCAATTCAGCTTAACAAAGTATTTTCCCAACTATTTGGGATTGGCTACATAAGAAAATGATTTTCCATTTTGCCCAATAATATTTGTCCAGGCAAAAGTCTTTCAAGCTACTTTTAGAAGTTCTAAACTCATTTTTTTTTAATAACTGACTGCTTCAAATACTTTCACAATTAAATGGCTGGGGTCAATCTTATTCACCCAAAGAACGGTTGATAGAATCTAGAAAGCAGCAACAACCAAAAAATATATAGAAACAATCAGCAGTAACTAGTTAAGTAGTAAAAGGCAGCAGCAGATGTACAGAACCAGCATCTATCAGTTTGATTGGCCCAGCTAAGTCATCGCAAGATAGATCAAATAATTTTTCATGTAACGCAAACTTCCAAGTAATATTCATATGTTTGCAAACCCCAATCTTCTCCGTCTCTCTGGCTCTGTTCTTTGGACTTGAAAAGCCATAACATGGTTTAAATTAAATTGAATAACTCCTCTTTTTCAAATTTCAAGCAACCCAAATTATATGAATGACCTAGTTTCAAAAGACAATGACACTCATATCATGATGGTCTATACTGGCACATATTCATACTTGAACCAAAATCACCAATTATTGAATAAAAGAAGTAAATTCTATGCCTTACAATGCTGATAAAAATCAGCATAATCATCCAAGAACTTGAACCAAAATCAACAATTATTGAATAACAGAAGTAAATTATAAGCCTTACAATGCAGATAAAAATCAGCGTAATCATCCAAAACAGTTAAACAATTCTTCAAATTGAAAATTAAAAATCAGCATAATATATTTATAGTTGATATAATGATAAAACATAATAATGCACTTAAATTTGAACTCACCTTCAAGCACAGTACCAAAAATAATGTTCTTATTATCAAGCTGAGGGCATGGACCAGGTCCAGTGGTGATCAAGAACTCCACATTTCGGTAATCTGGGTTGAGCTTAATCTCATCATAGTCATCATTCTCTGACAAGCAAAGCGAAACAAGTCCTGACCTCGAATGGCCTAACATAAAGGCCCTAGAATCGACGGTCTCAGTGTTCCGAACCAAATCTAACGGCGGCTTCACCTCTCCCCTGTCTCGCCGGCCTTGCCTGCCGGCCATGAAGAACTCGCCGGGGAATATTTTCTGAACCAAAGTACCCTTGTAGGTCGAACCGGACGAACCGCAACACATGGCTTTGAAATTGGAGACGGTGAGAGGGACGAGGTTGCCGTAGAGGCCGAGGATGAGGCGGCCCAAGGGTTCCGTGTCGGTGCAGAGAGAGAGTTCGTCGCCCAGGGTTCGGTTTTGGAAGTAATTTGGGCATATGCTGAAGTCCATGAAGACTCTATCGGTGACAGTGGTGTCTGGTGGTGGCGAGGTGGTGGCGGAGGAGAGGGTGGAGGGAAGGGAGACGGAGGTGGAGAGGAAAAGGATGGAGCGGCGCGTGAGGTGAAGTTTAGGGTTAGGGTTAGGGTTGCGGTGGTGGTGGTTGTGGGGGAGAAGAGGCGAAGAGAGAGTGGTGGAGCAGCCCATGACGACGGTGCATACCACACGCAAGTGGTGCAGCAGCCCATGGCGGAGAGAGAAAGAGAGGATGTGTGAGTACCACAGAGTAAGACAAGTGGGGCCCACCTTTGATCTAATGGATAAACCAATCGGCTCTCATGTGTGGGACCTGATTAATACTGATCGTCCATGCCACGTCAATCATCTATATGATGGTAAATTGGTAATAAGTAAAAAAAAGAAAATGAATAAATAAAAATATATTTTTTTTTTTGAGTAAATGAATAAATGAAAATATTTATTTTGCAATAAATTAATTTCTATTGATTAAAATTAACATAACAGTAGTACCCCTCTGACTCTTCAGGTTGATATTCTAGTTCTGACAAAGAAATTTTTTTTTTTTTTTTTTCTAGTTGTAAGAAACAGGAAAATAAGAGATTGATTTTCTTTTTCCCGGAAACTGAATTAAATTGTATATATATGTACCGACTAGGATGGGCCAAGAACAAAAGGCCCAACAAGTTGGATGGTAAATCAAATTAGCCCAGGCTAGAGCCAGCCCAAGCCTAATACCAAAGAGATTAGGCCCCAAACAAAACAGCTAGCCGTTGCTAGTTGGGACTAGGGTCAATAGCAATTCAATCCAGCTTCGATTGACATCAATGGAGGCAAGAAAGGGATGCCAAGTTTCAATGTTTCGATTGACTCCAGTTTTTCTAGGTTTTTTTTTTCTTCTTCTAATGTCGTGATTCTCCTTCGCCCAAACCTCATTCTCTCTCCTATTGTCTATCAGGTTTGTCTCATTTGGTCTTCAATGTTGTTATATATATGTGTGTGTCACTGTGTGCAAAATTATGTGCAAAAGCATATGCATATCTATTCCGTATGTATGAGTAAGGATACGGAATTACCTTTGTGAATGTACTCGTCGTTGATTTGTGTTTTGGACTTCATGGAAAACGACTAAGATGCATTTATATAGTTGTACATCTGGACAAGAGCTAATGTGTTGTGATCTTTCTTCTTGATATAGTCGCCTTCCTCATCGAAGACTTAAAGACCTAATGTCTTACTTTTGTCATGGGCTCTAATTTTTATTATTATCTAATGCATTTAATAGTTTTTGAACAGACTCCTAGTTACATTTTTATTTTTATTGATAGCTACTATTCTTTAATATTTTAAACAAGTTTACAATTCAACCTCTACTATGATATGAATAATGGTGGAATATGAAAATATTAAGAAAGGATTGTTAAATTCTTATAGAAGACCAATGAAGACATCTCAAATATAACGTGGTTATATATATATATATATATATATATATATATGTTTGTATATATATAATACATGCGTATGCATATTTGAAACAAAACAACTAGGGATTCCTGCAGGCATCACTGAATATAAATCAGGGACATTATATATGTGAATATATAGAAACGGGTCCCTGTTGCCATACAAAATGCCTCTATATAGTGTTTCTTCTTGTTGTGTATTCCTTCTTGATATAATCGCTTTCTCTGTTGAAGACTCAAAAGAAATGATAAGTCCTATCTTTGGTCATGACCACTATTTTTAATTACCTAATACTTTTGTGGGTTTTTTGGTCGGACTCCTATTTATATCTTAATAAAGAGTTATTATTATTTTTGTAAAAATCTAATACTTTTTAACAATAACAATGTTCCTTAATATATATATTTTTTGAAGACAAGTTAATAGCGAATTCAACCTCAACTAGTTTGAAGTAGGTAAAACAAGAAATATTTGAACAATGGTGAAAAATAACAATATAAAGGAATATTAAATTTTTGTAGAAAAACAATGCAGACATCTCATATATATCTTAATAAAGAATTATTATTATTTTTGTAAAAATATAATACTTTTTAACAATAACAATGTTCCTTAATATATATATATTTTGAAAGGTAATATTCCTTAATATTCCCGACAAGTTAATAACGAATTCAACCTCAACTAGTATGAAAGTAGGTAAAACAAGAAATATTTGAACAATGGTGAAAAATAACAATGTAAAGGAATATTAATTTTTTTTAGAAAAACAATGAAGACATCTCATATATATTATTTTATGTGTATGTATATGTGTCTGAATGCATGTACCTGTTTATAAATTATGGTTTATCAAAATTTTAGAATTTTAGATATTGACCTACCTTTGCTTCTTTGGGAAATGACATCATTTAAAATTTTTTTGACCTCATAAATTGGTATATGTTGAATTCATTTGCACCATCATTAGTGACACAATGAAACTGAATCAAATTGTTTGCTTAAACTCACCAGAATTTACAAGGATGAAGATAGAAGCAACCAGTGCACTTACTCATCTAGAAATGTCGGGGTGCACGAAAGAACTAGAAATAGAGAAACAAATGAGAAAATACCTTCTCCATTCCTAAACTTTCCTTCTAACTCCACCAGACTTTTTACAATCAATATGATAATGTCTGAATTACCTTTATCTGCATGAGAAAGCTTCACTTTCATCATCTTTATTCCTGACTGGTGGGCTGCTGAGCTTGGAAGCTATTGACATGGAATAATCATTCCATGACTGTTTCTTAGAGAACGAAATATTCCTGTGTTGGGGACACACATTCAAGCATGCACCTTTAGACTTGTGCAGTGCACAGCTACAGTTGCGATGGTATGGCCTCCGCTCGATTTCCATGTCGTACATTGATATGCTTCCATTAAAGACGCACGGAAGCATAATCTCTGCTGCTCCAGTGGCCATTCTCTCTCTCCCTCCCTCCCTCCCCTGAATGTCTTGTGTGTGTGTGGTATGCAGGTGAGCAAATGTACGTGTGAGTGAACTTGAATGTCTTGAACTTTTGCATATTCTTTGATGGGTTTATATAGAGCAGGGGATCAGTATTTGTTGAGTGGCAGTGTGGGAGTATCCAAGGGAGAAAATGTCCAAGTAGAGTACAAGAGTAGTTTGGTACGGTTCTTGCCTATGTAGTTACCTTGCTAAGGGTTTAAGAAAGACGTTTTTCCCTAGGAAAGTCTCTGTTCCTTCCTGTGGAACCTATTATATTTTGAGAGAAAGATGGCTTGGCTTTGTTTGGTTTGGCTTGGGTTTGCAAGTTATTGTAGGGAGGAATATTATAGCTTTGGTTGTTCAGGAAGTTTGTGTTTCTTGACTAACTAACTATAATGGATTTTTATGAATTTTGTTCCCGGAGTTGGACGACTGTTTCTAGGCAACAAAGGATGTGGGTTAAAGTGTTGAGTAATACAAGTAAATGGCCCACACCTGGACATATTACGTGGTTATGCAATTTAACCTTTTCTTGTTCCCTTTTTATGGTGATGACAATGATAAAAATAATTGTCCCATGCTCATTTGCGTAATTCCAAATGTTAAGGCGATTTCTTCCTTCACTCTAGACAGAACATTAAAATATGTTGTCTTAACTTGATATGTCATGTTCTGCATTACACAGTAAGATTAAGAATGTGGGTGAAAAATGGGATATGTAAATATTCTTTACTGGTTTGGGTGAAAAACATTTTCTTTTACAAAAGCTGCATTTTTTGCACAGGTGAAGAGAATACAAAAAGAAGGGGTTTTTATAGGAAATTAGATTTATCAATTATATAGAAAAGGGTACTTCTTACATTCCATTTTTGAAGTTAGAGGAAATTGATAATCAGTGAATCCCGAAAACTACGTACATGGCAGTTTTTACCACGTTTTTGTTTCCTGTTATGACGGTGTCTTAAATTCTCAGTTCAAGAGGTCTTTTTTGGAAACTGGAAGGTTGATTGGCTCACATGGAAAAAATAAAAAATCGTTTAGCAACCTTTATTTCTTGTCCCATGACATCTGCCCTGGTCCATTTTTTTTTCTTTTGGGTGAATTGTTTGGGTCTTTAATCCATTGTGATATGGGTATGTTCTTTTGTATTTATTGATCCAAGTATTTAGGGTCCACACAGAGAGAGAGAGAGAGAGAGAGAGAGAGAGAGAGAGAGAGAGATATTGGGGTGGGAGGAGGTGTGGGGGGAGTGCACTCTGTTATGTAGAGAGAGAACTCTTTGAAAACAGATGGACGTGGGTATTGTGGCATCCATCTTGTAACGTTTATATCCACACTGTTTTATTTTCATTTTCATCTATGTAAATAGGCTTTTAAGACAGACCATGGAATTGTTTTGTGTGTGTGTGTGTGTGCTTGTCAAAATTTCGTCACTTTTTTCTTTTTATTTCTAACTCTAAACTTTGACCTGCCTTAACATTTCCTGCTGCTTATTCATTGGAACAGTTGATTGTGATATATATGTATATATAACTAGGGAAAAAAATATGTATATATATTAAAATTTGTAAGGTTTAATTGTGAGATAAGAGAAGACAAAATTCTAAAAGAATATGGTTCTAAATTAGGGTTTCACAGTTTTCACCACATATAGAGCAAGCTGCTTGTGGCCCAATTTTCAGTGCTGAATAGAATCTTTGTATGCTAACCTTAAAATTTTATTGATGTTGCTATGTAAGTCATGTACAATTTGTTTTATTGTAAAATTATTAAATCCATTGTGGAATCTTCTAGTTTATATATGAAATGGCGCTGGATAGTGCATTCTTTTTGGTCAGTGTTATTTTTTTATTTCACTTTTGCAGTTAGAATGAAATCTTTGTATTGCTAACCTTATATTTTTATTGATGTTGCTATGAAAATCATTTATTATTTTAGAATCTTCAACTTGTTGGTGAAAAAATATTGTACTGAAATTCCTTTTTTCAATCATATCTGGGTTACTGGTGTAAGAATAAAGAAATTGACAAAACATTGTTGTCTTTGTAAGAACATTTATATGTATATTTGTATTTATGTTGGGGTTCTATTGTAATTAGATATAGGGTTTGTGGCCATTATGTAAATAGGCCTTTCTTGTATTGTATATATACCCTTTTATGTTTTCGGGTTAAGGAAATATGAAGAAGAGGGCAACGCCTCTAATATGTTCTCTCTCTCTCTCTCTGTGTATCATCCATCTACTCTCTCACTCTATCATCTCTCTCTATAGTCTTGCATTTTCACATGGTATCAGAACGTAGATCCGGCCATTGATGTTGCTACCGCGGTGCTAGGGTGTGTACTAGCTCGTGAAGGGATCGCTGTTCATTTGTCGATCCGGCCACTCTTGGACGTGTTTTTTTTTCTCTTCATCGACAATCATTCCTGGACTGTCGGCGAAGAGTTTGCAGTGTGAAAATCTCTCCGTTTGTTGACGCCGGTGGTTGTCGTGTGCAGTCGCCGTTGTGACTGTTTTTGTGGTCGGTGGCTTCGTTTGGAACTGAGAGGGCTTTGCAGTGGCTTTGCTGTCTTCCTTTGGTTGTTAATTGATTTGTGGTTGGGGCTTCACCTTGTGGAGGTCTTGGATCCTTGTTTGTTTGTTGACGGCAGCAGACTGTGGTCCTTGCCGGCGCTGATTGTGAAGGAGAAGGGGAGTGTTTGGTTGCAGGCGCATAGTTATTCCAGATCAGGTTAGGCTATCCCGATCTAGGTTCACTTAAACCGGTTTTGTAGAGATCCGGTTCAAGATAAATCTAGATCGGCAGATCCGGCCCGTTTTCAGATTCGGGTCTGGTTCGACCCTATTTCACTGATCCGGGTCTGTTCTACTCTGTTCTCTTTCTTCCTGTATTCTGCTTCTGTTTTTTTTTTTTTTTTTTGTGGCATTAAATCCATGTCTGAATCTTCAACTGCTGCTTTTGGGTCTACTGTAATTCAATCTCCCGCAACACATG